ATTGTGTACCAGTTTAACGTTGAATATTATTTATGATTTTAACTTTATACACAAGTGCCAAAATACTATAAAAATATATTAGTCAAGCTAAATGTAATTTGAAATATCGTCTTAATGAACATAAAGGTTATGTACGTGATATAAATATGTTAATTCCTCATCTTGCTGAACAGATGATTTAATACAATGGCATTAAACAATCATTTTATATGAACCTAATACTCAAAGTTTATTGAATATTAGAGAATTAATTGAAATTTTGTGCTGTTAAATAAATAATTATTTGTTAAATAGAGATGGAGGGTTATCTGGTGATAATGTACAGCTCTGGAAAGAAATATTGACCTCTTATGGACAATACTCATACCACCCTCAAAGATTACAATGAGTTAAACCTTTCCTTATAAATCTACTCGCTTGGAATGTTGGTTTCTCTTCTTGATGATGGTAGCGTGAAACTACCGAAACGTGTGGAGTCTTTTAATGTTGACCGAGGGCCAAATAAAATAAAAAGTTGTGCATATTAAACGTTAATTTTGTTTTTATTTTAAAATTTATTGCACAAGCTGACGTCATCGAATTGTTTAGAAAAACTGATTTTCGAATTTAAAAAGTTTCTGACCAACTGCGCATGTACCGGACCTGCGAGAAATTTGATAATTTTCAACTGTCGGTAAGCTTCACATATTTTATCACATAAGTAATTTTATGTTTTATTTTTTTATGTATTTGGTTAATAGAACTGGCCATAAAACTTGCTGAAATCACCCTGTTTCTATGGGCAATACATAGAGGACGCCTGCAATGATTAGTGGCATTAATATTTTTGTTTACCGTATTTCTGTGTGTCTCGTACGTAATTAGAGGCCCACAACGTATGTATTCAGTTATGCTTCGTCTTACACGATCTGAAAGTTTTATTAGCACCTAACAACCAGCCCATTTGTTTTTATTCTTATTAACACTGTACTATCAGTCGTAAAAACATTTTATTACTGACTCGCGTTGTGTAAAGAACAAGTACATTATGCTGATATTTTGTTTTATTTTTGACACTTCAAAACACATCTGCTCCCCAGTGGCACAGGGGTATGTACCCGTGGTGGGCAGAGCACAGATAGCCCATTGTGTTGCTTGATGCTTAACTTCAAACAAACAAAACACATCTGCCCCCCCCCCCCCAGTGGCACTAGCGATATGTCTGCGGACTTACAACGCTAGAATCCGGGCTTCGATACCCGTGATGGGCAGAGCACAGGTAGCCCATTGTGTTGCTTGATGCTTAAC